CTAGTTTCGTAACGAACAACTTTGCATTAGTTGCAATCCAGTAGCACATTCGCTTGCCTTTTGTACAGTCCTTTCACTGCAATACTTATAACAAAGTAGAGGCAAACAAAAACTCATAAAAATGCTTATGAAATGGCACTCAAATCAGATTTTTAGCCCTGTTCATGGATAGACGTGGAATGGAGAATTGTCATACCCGGTTTTCTCCTTCTACTTAAATATACTAAACGTCCCACAAATTTTAATGATATCGGAACAGTTTACACATGCATTAATGCATTATGTTCTGTTACCAGGCAAAAATTATGCGAATTCCTTGCACTGGCGGTGAATCGTCAAAGAAAGCATTCTTCGCTCGCTAAAGGCTGATCTGTCTCAGCGTTCTCTATTTCTTAGCATGCTATGCGTTGAGTTACGTGCATCGTACTGTGGTTTCCTCGTGAGTTTGCAACAGGAATATGATTTGCAACAGGACAGACGATTCCTCACAGACAATTAACATATACAGTCAATTTAATTCGCTTTTAGTGGGCTAACCTTTGCCATGAAGCAAACGCCGTAATGTTTGATCTAAACGAAAAGTTTTACAGACACTGTACTCATATCTCCAGCGGATATTCTAATTCCTTCAAGCACGCGCTGCTTCCACGACTCAGATCTGCTCCTAGCTGAAGTAAAGTGCATGAAGTTACTATTTCGTTTTGAAATTCACACAACTGCAGTATATTTTTACTTAGACAAACAGTAAAACATTTCGGAGTAACTTTACACAGTTTCGTCTAATAAAAGCGACAAATAATCATGAAAAATTTATAAATACAAAAGGAATCTTCGACGATGCATTACAGTCTTCTAAAAATTTTCTCTGAGTTCATTTGTTACCACTGATCACTAAAAAAACATTTGAAAATATGACAAGCGACACAGTTGCAGGATAACAGAACACTGATATATTATATCAGATACAGGTCATATCGGGAAACATCTAGAACAGAGTCTACTTTGCCTCGCTTACGACAATGAAATAAAACGAGAACGACTATGCCCCGTCGGTCAGAACTAGACGTTTTACTTAAACCTAAGTACTTTTAGACAATGTCCTGAAGAAAAATGAACCAGAATCACAAAGTCTTTTATATGACAGCTAAAATGGCATTATTATGTCGATAAACGCATTACTGCATTTATTAGAGCACAATAACCACCTCAACAACAATAAAAAGCCCCCTATTTTGTGGAAGACTTCAGAATTTCAGTAACAGTTTCCATGATAATTCCATATTAGTCTTTGAAATGATTGTGGCAGATTACGTGAGCACGTTGCGGGAACAGAAACGCAGGCAGAATATCGGTGGGATCAATAAACGACTGACAGGCAACGAGAGCGAACACCCTATAATCACCTGAATTCTCGATCAACTTTCTTTACAAGATAACTCATGCGCCACTGACGAGAAATGACACCATGATACTATGTGAAAATACGTTCACCATCCGTGGAATATCGCATGACAGGTTCAATCATCGCCTGCAGTCTTCCTATTTTTACGTCTAAAAATGTAGGGGAACGCTGCTACATTCGCATGTATGAGTACTGCGTTTATTGTGCGTATCTTTAAACATCGTTGTTTTGTAGTGTCATTGTAATCAAAGGCTAGCAGAGCTTTACAGGAGAGCAACCCAGATGTATTAAGCCTGACCTTCAGAAGGGGCATCTCAGACATCATAAATGGCAATATTTCTCAGATATCAGGTAAAGATCATAATCCTGTTCGCCACAGGTCTGCTTCAACGAAATGATTTCATGTTCTGTACTGTCCTCCAGTAACTCCTAATCTTTAGTCCATGTGAGAAGAGTTTAGAAAATATCTTTTTTCTCCTTTAGGGCCGTTCTATCAAAAAAAGCCAGGTGCTCGTCTCTGAGTTCATTTAATAGTTTCCTCAGATTGCCGGTAGTCAGCAAATGCTCATCCATGACCTGGTGTAGTCACTGCATTTTGAGGATATTTCGATGACAGCGTTTTCGGAAGCTCTTTAGACGAACTTTATGACGCCTCAGGACGGCAGATTCTTCGACACTGTACACAACTACCGCGAATGCCGCTGCTCTCAGGATGGTTATTTTCATGTTGGTTTTAATATTTCGATCTTTCCATACGCCATACAACCTGGGATACAGACAAATTCATCGATCCAGTTCAGGATCAACGTCTCTATTGTTCGTCAACACAACTCCGAGATATCTGAAATGGAGCAGCTCTTCCATCGCAATATCCTTGGAATGCCGGTAGCAGCGGGCATTCTAGTAATCCTCTAGTAAATCTTGGAAATGCGGCTGGAATTTGTATGCCAGGTCATCAGCCCTCTGACAAGAATAACGTTTCTCGATGTTATTAATATTTCGACCAGAAAAACAGAAGTCATTCTTGGGATTAAACAAATAAAATGCCATCATCTGGAAGCAGTGGTGTGTTGGATAGTAGCCAGATTTGCAAGGCATAAGTGCGAGTCTGAATCCAATCACAATGTGTAAATTTTCTGATTAACTGCTGCCTCCTTTGATTGCTCGCGATGCTTCAGTGTTCCAACTTGAAAAATGGGTAGTAAGTCGATGCGCATCATGCAGACAATGTGTTCTGATGTGGTAATACTATAGCTTACCAAAATTGTGATCATGCTGATAAGGCGTACGCATTATCGCTGTAGTACATCTTCACACGCCTTAAAGATTACTTAATCATCACGAGTTGCAAAAAAAATCATTCTGTATTT